GAGGAGAAGGTGGTGGAGGAGAAGAAGGGGCGAGAGGAGGAGGAGGGGGCAGGGGCGGGACCGAAGGCCAAGGAGGGTGAGCCCAAGCCCCGCCCCCTGCACAAGACATGTTCTCTCTTCATGCGCAACATCGCACCCAACATCTCCCAGGCCGAGATCGTAGCGGTGAGTGGTGGTGCGGGGTGGGGGGGCAGGCCCCCCAGAGCTGGGTGCATCTTATGGCTGAGAACAGAAGGGTCTAGATCTGGGGGGTCTCTGCAGTGTCTCACTCTCTTTTCCCCCCCCACCCCTTCAGCTCTGCAAGCGTTACCCTGGCTTCATGCGCGTCGCCTTGTCGGACCCCCAGCCCGAGAGGAGGTAAGTCGAGGCATGGTCTCCCCCCCACCCCCCAATTCAGGGCAGGGACATCTCCCCAAACAGCTACCACCCCAGCCCCCCCTGACCCGGGACCCCCCAGTGTTGCACTTATAAACTCAAGTTTTCAAGAACTAGGTTTAAAAACTAACATAGCCCTTGGTTGACAAGCAGCAAGAAGTTTTGATTTAATAGCGACCAAAAAACTACAAGACTAAATGATGGAAAAAGACATTTTTCCTTATTCTTGTATTTGTTCAGTTGTGAAAATGTGCGTTTCTCGCAGCAACTAAAATTAGAGGTCAGTTAAATGCAGCAGGTCTTGAGTGGATGCCCAGAGGCACCAACTACCCAACCAGGCTCACCAATAGGGCAGAAATTTGCAGTAGCTTGTAGCAGGGGTGATCGCTTTACAGACAGTGTGTGATTGAGGACGTGTCTTTGGGTAAAGCTAATCTTTTTTGTTCAACCAAATTAAATAGTTGGAAAAGATTTTGAAAAACTCAATTTTTCTGACTCTGTATGCGGTCTAATAAAAGTTTCAGGTAGGCAGGCAAGGTTTTTTATTAAACTAAATCAAGTAGTTGATTTTTTATTTTTTTTTTAAAAACCTCACCTTTTCTGACTATGTAAGTTGGTCTAATAAAATATATCAGAGTAGTAAATCATCTTTTTTTTAATTAAGCCAGGGAAAATGGTTGGAATTTTTTTTGAAAAACTCAATGTTTCCAATTATTTGTGTTGGTCTAATAAAAGATATCAGATTGGTAAATCTGAATTTTTTTATGAAACCAGGTCAGATAGTTGGACATTTTTTGAAAAACTCAATTTTCCTGACTGTTTAGTTGGTCTAATAAAAGATATCAGATAGGCAGATGAGGTTTTTTGGGTAAATCCCATCTTTCTTATTAAATCAAGTCAAATATTGGAAAAGTTTTTTTGAAAAACTCAATTTTTCCAGTTATCTGAGTAGGTTTAATAAAAGATATGGGATTTACCTGAAGAACTTTGTCTGCCCATGTCCTCAGACCACCATGGCTGCGACCGACACCCTGGGACACATGCATATATACACAGCCCAAGTGGCCAGGGTGCATGGTGACATCTTTTATTAAACCAATTCAAATAGTTGGAGAAATTTTGGAAAAAATCAATTTTTCAAACTATTTGCGTTAGTCTAATAAAAGATCTTGCATTTACCCAAAGAACCTCATCTGCCCATGTCCTCAGACCACCACGGCTACAACCGACACCCCTAAAAACACGAAACGATTGAGACGTTTGTCACAACTTCAACATCACAGGCCTGCTTTAAAAACCATGAGGCTGCGTTGTTATATTTATCTCACACACAACACCTTTCCTGCATTCAACTAGTCTTTTTGTGATTTGGCTTGAAACATATATTTCCTCTTTTGTCGTCGTTAGTTACTCGTTCACTTGAAAACGATACGTTGTTCCCCAGTATCCAGGGTGCAGCCGTCTCGGTTCAGAGGCAAAAGGCATCCAAGCTTGTGGCAGAGGTGACACCTTTTCTCACGCCAACGAGATATGTGCAAAAAATATTGCTTTTAATAATTTTCCATTGCAAAAACGTATTTTAATTACTTTTAATTGCAAAAATTTACGTTTCTTGCATAACCCGCCTGCCATCTGCCGTTGTTGCAAGCTTTTGGGCACATGCACCTTTGGGCATAATGAAAAAATATCATGTTCTTGCTATGCCCGAGGAAGGGTGTCTGTGCCCGTAAGCTTGCAAAGATGGTAGACAGGTCATACAAGAAAAGTAATTAAAAGCAATTTTTGCAATTAAAAGCATGTGTTTTTTATGTATATCATTGGCGTGATAAAAGATATCACCTCTGTCATGAGTTACCACACCGAGTTGCATGCAAAAAAAATATTGCTTTTAATTGCAAAAAATTCTTTTTAATTTCTTTTAATTGCAAAAATTGCTTTTCTTGCCTGGCCTGTTTGCCATCATTACAAGCTTTCAGGCACATGTGCCTTTCCTCAGGCATAACAAGAACTAAATCTTGTCTCATGCCCGAAGAAAGGTGCGTATGCCCAGAAGCTTGCAAGGACAGCAGATGGGCTATGTAAGAAAAGTAATTAAAAGATTTTTTTGCACTAAAAAGAAATCGGGATTTTTTGCAAGTTTCTCATGGGCTTAATAAATGATATCACCTCTGCCGCGAGTTTGGATCCCTTATGTCATTTCCTTGCCTTCTCTAGTTACATTAGCTCACATACGTGTGTGATGAGTGTGTTGGGTCTTAGGCAACAATTTTGCTTTAGAGAAACTGTCACTTTTATTATTTGAGGGCATTGGGGTCGGTGGTACTGGGGTGCTATGAGCTCTGCTGTCTCGACGCCTGTGTGGGTTGTAGCCCACAGTGGGGTTTAATTTTGTTTGTGGCAAATTTGTTGCCACAACCCAGTTTGGCCCCAGCCACTGTCTTGCATGGAGGGACCCTGCAGGGCTTCAGGGCCCTGTGACTGGGTGGGGGGAGAGGGATTAGGGGTACCCCAGGGGGACCTGAAGGAGCCCGTTCTGTTCCTCCCTCAGGTTCTTCCGCCGTGGCTGGGTGACCTTCGACCGCAGCGTCAACATCAAGGAGATCTGCTGGAGCCTCCAGAACATCCGGGTGAGTGTTTGGTGTCCCCCAGAGCTGGGCGCATCTGAGGCGTGTTACACACAGCCTGGCCTCTCAGAGCTGGCTGCATCCTGGCCTGTTTTACACAACACAGCCCGTCCCGCGCCGCCCCCCC